TTTTGAGTACTACCAATTTATGTAAAAATTCGTCCTATGCTTTGTCATATTACTATCGAAAAATTGGATCATACTTTGGTGTACTACCGATTCGAAAAATTGGATCATACTTTGGCGTACTACCGAATCAAAAAATCGGATCATACTTTGGCGTACTACCGAATCAAAAAATTGGATCATACTTTTACGTACTACCGATTCGAAAATTTTATTCTTACTTTTGCGTACTACCACATCGAAAAATTTCACGCTTTTGCGCATAATTCCATCACACGAATTTTTATTGATACCTAAATTAGGCAACACAAAAATGGTTATCGAGGAAGCTGAGTCTCTGACTCATACATACCTTATATATCGGAAGTATTAATTTTTTATTTGAATTTTTTCTCATATTAATTGTAAGAGGCGACAAAAATCCCCTTACCTGAAATAAATGATTAGTTGAATGTAACAATATACCCCCCTGTCAGAGGTACGCTACTAAACTAGATCATTGATTGATTGAATTAATCGGTAAATTTTGAGTTAGTATCGGTAATAGGTATCAAATCAAAGAGTTCTTGAATTTCATTGACTGATTCTGGTTCATATGGTGGAAGAATCGGAGCTCTCGCTTTATTAAAACCAGTTCCACTGTATGGTTTGTGGTCAATCCAATAAATTTGTTTCCATACTTGTTGACCCTCAGGTCCTTCTCTTTTTCGTTTACTCTTGATAGCATAACCGCACCAATTACCCACTACCGCATTGATGAATTTTATTGTAGCATTGAGATCAGGTGTTCCTTTGGCCTGAGATTTAAATCCGAAGAGTAATAATGCATCTTGTCGAATTTTAATGATTTTTTCCTGCAATTCTTCGAATGCTTTTGCCACATCATTGCCTGAGAGAATGCGCTCATCATCTATGCCGGTAAAACCCAATGATTGGAAAAGGTTATGAACAGCTTCCCATTGTTTTACTGAATAATATTTATGCAAATTGTTTGAGGCTGGATCCAAAGAATCTTGTGATTCCTCCCATTGTATGGTTTCTTTGAATTTTAAATTTTCCAAAGCTTTTATCGCATTAGAACCTTGTCTTCGGAAATAGGCAAGTCTTCTAAAATGTTGTAAAGGTTTGGAATTGTTGAATATTTTTACAAAATCTATATCACAGAGTTTAACCCAATCAGCATTATCCATGCCCCAATCTCAAGAATCATTCTTACCTCCTATGTCACCTGAAGCATAAATTTTCCATAAATAATGCTGTTGTAGAATCATATTATCAGTAAAAGAACGTATAGGATTTAGCTTAAGCATTTCAGCTTCATTGGAACTAATATCTGGGGAATTAGCTATTAATTCAGCATCAGCAACTTCAATTTTTTTTGCAACTTTCTTGATTGTATTAGATACTTCTACATGAGTAACTTTTGCCAAGCTGGTCTCTTCTATTGTAATTAACTCAAGATATGCTCTGGTACTAGCAATAGTGTTGGTTTCCAAAACTTGAGAGTTTCGCAACCGTGCGAAAGTCAAAAGGTTTCGCCATAAGTCGAAACTAGTTTTGATTTTTGACTATTGACTTTTGATTTAGTTTTGACATATAACTTTTAATTTTAGTTTTGACTTTCACCTCTTCAAAATAGTTTTGGCGACCAACACTAACTAGCAATAAGACTACAAAGAATTTCCGGAAAGTATTTAACTGATAAACGTCTCTGATATTCAACCTCTATATAAGCCTCTACTGCTGGAGATGAATCAAGTCCATAGCAATCAGAAATTTTATTCCATTCACGATGTCCTTTTACTGCTGTTGGTAAATCCCCAGGTCTTAAGGCTGAAAGTTCTGCACGAATAAGGTCATGATTTGGTTCTTTAAAAATGCCAGGTTTTTTGCTATTTATCTCTATGATTTTATTATTTTTTATTTCTTTTCTTTTAGTAGGTAATATTTAATAAACTTTGTTTAGTAGTTTAGAGACGTACCTGACTTGGTATATGGCAAAGAGGAAAACGGCTAGAAAGGCACCCACCAAGAAACATTATCAGGACACATAAGTATCAAGACGGATACTTGGCAGCACACAATACCAAAAGTGTATTGTATAACTAAATAACATAATTGGACACTACCTTATGAATGAAAAAAATACTATTTTAATGAAATCAAGAGATTTGTGTGAGATGCGGAATTTTGATCTCACAATACCCAATTCTTCTATTAAGCCCTGCTCTACAATTTGATTTTTATCAGTCCCATCATCTTGCTCCAATTCAGATATTTCAGTTTGATCATTTCCCGAACTAATGGTTTTTGTTTCACATGATGAATTTGAATCCCCAAGGGAACGGTTTTTATATCACGTGATGAATTGGATGGTTTTGATGAGTTATCCAAAGATAAGTTTTGATCTCAAAATTTCTTTTCCCTTATGCTCTGAATTATCTCTTTACTAACCTGTTCCTTATACGTTGAATCCAGGAATTCATTTTCTTCTTTCTCTTCCAATGATATGGTTTCTGCAGGGATAGGAGATGTTGAGGTCTCTAATTCCTGTTGTGTATTGGAATTGCCGGAGGCAGTCACTTCGTGGCTAGATATGTTATGTGAGACTATCTGTTCATGAGTATCGTTAGAATTTAAAGTATTATCAGTTATATCAGATATCGGGGTATCAGTGGTATAACCACGAGTCTCTGACTCATCACATTGTGGCACTATCTGTTTAGGAGTATCATTAGAATTTACTGGAGAGTGCGAAATATCTTCCGTAGAACATATCCACCGATTTCTGCAATGTTACACGATTTCAGGCTGATTTTGGGGCACATTTTCATTGTTTTTTGTTTTGTTTTAAGGTACATTTTTGATATGTTACACCATTCTTTATCTAAAAAAAGTAATTTTTATATA